GAAAAACTGCAGCAATGCCCTCAGTATGTTAGAATGCTATGCTCTCTCTTTTCCAAGGTATAAGACATTTAGGGTGTTCGTATCAGCCACATGTTTTAAGGTGACCTGACCACTCAGGGCGGCTAATCCGAGAGGTTGGAAGTACGGGCCCCCAACACGCGTTAACTAGGGGAATTCTTGGGGCCCTCACTGAGTATGTAGTACTAGGATATGACCCACCCATGCTAACATTAAGCACCCCTAGTATTACTTAAGCCCATCACAATGAGGCCTCGTAGGTGGTAATATTTCATATTAGGGGCGGGGGGGGGATTAAATATCAGTGTAACTTAACCCACATTACCCTAGTAAGAACACAGGTTCCATTTTATATAAATATAAGGAATCCCATGCCACAAAAAGTATAAGGAAAAACAAGGATCCCTAAACCCTATATATCCCTATAATACACCTATATCACCCCTATATATCCCCCTTTAAGGGATCCCTAACATGGATTCAGATGAAGGGCCTTTTAGATGCGTAGCGGCCCCGAGGGATGAATCCCGCGGACGGGGGCATAAATTATGATCAATATCGTTTCAAAGTCTTTTCGAAATATCCTATACTATGATATATGCGTATAATAGTATAGCCCTAAAACCCTAATACGATTAACTAATAGGATTAAGGTTTCAGGGCTTTACTATACAATAACAAATATATACATACATAGTATAGCCCTCAAACCCTAATACTAGTAGGGTTTCAGGGCTGTACTATACAATAATAAATAAATATATATATATATAGTATAGCCCTGAAACCCTAATACGCAAGAAGCCAAGAACCATGATATGGGCCATCGTTTCAGCTATTGTCTAAACTTCCAGCATGCCCCTTAGTATGCCCCCTATATAATTCCTTATATAACCCCCATTTAGGAGCCCTAAACCCTAAACCCTAAACCGTTAAGACTATGGCTCATTGAGACACTAGACCCCTTGCCTTGCGCCAGATGCCAAAAGCAACTTGATGGTGGGCACCTCACCATTCCTAGAGCCGTGCTTTAGGGCTTAGGGTTTGCAGGG